CCGCGCAGGCGCAGGCGAGGCCTCCTCCCTGCGGGACTACGCGGCGTCCACGGTGACGGAGCTCCTGGGCATGTTCGGCTACGGCGACCAGGGCACCCAGGACGAGCTGGCGCGGAAGATCAGCTTCGAGGGGGCCGGCCCGCCGGCGCTGCCCCCCGCCGAGGACGCCCTGAGCAAGCGCGCGCGCTTCTCCAAGTACGAGGAGTACATCCGCAAGCTCAAGGCCGGGGAGCAGCTCTCGTGGCCGGCGGCGGCCAAGGCCGAGGAGCGCACGGCCAAGGAGCTGCTGGGCCCCCTGCCCGGCCTGCGGCTGCCCGGCAGCACGGCCCACCTGGAGACCAAGGCCACCATCCTGCCCCTGCCCTCGCACAGCAGCGTCCAGATGCAGGGCCTGGTCGCCCGCGCCTCCAAGTACGACTTCTACATCCAGAAGCTGAAGACGGGCGAGAGCCTGCGGCCCCAGAACGGAAGCACGGCCTACAAGAAGCCGTCCAAGTACGACCTGGAGAACGTCAAGTACCTGCACCTCTTTAAGCCCGGGGAGGGCAGCCCCGACATGGGCGGAGCCATCGCCTTCAAGACGGGCAAGGTGGGGCGCCCTTCCAAGTACGACGTGCGGGGCGTCCAGAAGCTGGGCCCCGCCAAGGTCCCGCCTGCCCCCAGCCTGGCCCCTGCACCCCTCGCCAGCGTCCCCAGCGCCGCTGGGCCTGCGCCCGAGACGGCCACCTCCCTGCCTTTCAACACGCCGGACTACCTGAAGTCCACCTTCTCCAAAACGGACTCCATCACCACTGGAACCGTCTCCACCGTCAAGTAAGGTGCCCCCCCACCCCGCCCCGTCCTAGGCACTCGGGGGCAGCCACGCCTGCCCACACACGTCCTCCTCGGCCTGCACAGTGACTCCTGCACCTCACACCCCTGGGCCCACCCCCACCCCACACCTGCTAGCGCACACACCACGGACAGGTGGGCCTCTGGCTGCTGCAGTGGCTGAAACCATCCCCCCCGGGATAGGGCCTTAGGGTCGGTGCTGGTGGCCGGAACGCCCCATTTCAGACCTGGGTGGGTGGGTGCCCCATCCTACCCTAGCCCCAGGATAAAGCACACAGCAGTGTAGGCTGAGTGAGAACCTGTTCTAGATGGAGGCCTGCCATTGGGTGAGCCGTGAGGACAGGGCAGCTCCTCATCTCCCAGCTCCTCCCCCAGCCCCCTCCTCAGCCACAGCACCTCCCCACCCCCAGTGCCCCTGGGTGCAAGGGGGCAGAGCCAGGCCTCGGTGGCAGGCACACTCTGACCCAGGCTGCACTGTAGTGTTACCCCAGCTGCAGGCTCCCCTGCCCTTGTCAGAGTTGGGCAGGTGGGAACCGTGCCAGGTTTCTGCCCCCGGAGATTTGTCAGTGCAGACCTGAGTGCCCTGGAAGATGGCAGAGCCCAGGCGAGAAGGCCCAGGGCCCCAGGGCAGGGAGCTGGCCCTGCCAGATGCTCCTGGGGCGAGAGCCACCCCCATCCGCTAATCGGCTGTGCCCTGTGTGTCTCTCGCCAGGAACGGATTGCCCACAGACAAACCAGCTGTCACCGAAGATGTAAACATTTACCAGAAATATATTGCCAGGTAGGCCCCTGGGGGAGGGGCCTGCTGTGGAGAGAAGGTGGTGGGGTGGCCAGGGGACTGCTGGACCAGCTGTCTGTGTGCCCCTTAGTGCCAAGGGGCCTGCCTCCTCCCCACGCACTCCTGCCCCTGCCCTCCTCTAAGGGGCTTCCCTGGGCACCTGTCTAGTGCTCCTGCCCAGTTTATACCCCAGGCAGGAGAGAGGAGGAGCCTGGTGGCAGGGCCTGGCCACAGGTGAGTGTAGGGCACGCCCCCTCCACATCTGGTGGGGCCCCTGACCTCCGTGGAGTTGGGGGGGGGGGTGCAGGCCACCTTGCTGGTGACAAAACGATGTCCAAGGAGCCTCTCCCCCCCTGCTTCAGCCCTGAGCGCAGAGCTCCCCCCCACACCACCCTGCACAGCTGCAGTGCAGTGAGTTTGGCATGACACATACCCGCCCCCCCACCCCCCCAGATCAGGCAATTGCTGGCAGGGGCCCCGGCTTCTGTGTCCTTTGGGTCCTCCCAGTCCTTGCCCCTGTCCCTCTGCCCCTCCCCCCATCTCTGTCTTTTTTAGGCTTGCTCCGTTCATCTTATCTTTATTATTATTATCATTATTATTAGTGCCTCAACAGATGGCCCTTTTTGGCAGCTTCAGCTCAAATATTTATTTGCAAGTGGCTCGCCCCCTATAACTGGGGTTTCTCTCACTCTCTCCTGCAACCCCGAGCAGCCAAAGGAGGGGAGCACGGGGCTGAGCACCCCTTCCTGAAGGCCACGATGGTGCTTGGTCTCCCGGGGGGCCTCCCCACGGCCGGCTGCCCTCGGGACTCCAAGCAGCATGGCCTAGCAGGATGGCCCCTGAGAGGAAAGGGGGTTCCTGACCAGGCCGGGTAGGTTTCCTGGCTACAGAGTTGGCTGGGAGAGCGAGCTCCCTGGTGCGGGCAGCCAAACAGATGCTGGGCTTTAAAAATTCATAACTCTGGACTGTTTCAAGTGTCGGGAGAAGCCCAGGGCAGAGAGATGCTTTGACACCTGACGGCAGGGGAGCCGCGGGGCTGACCCATAGGCAGGGTCCAGGCTGTGGCAGGCTCCCACCTGTGGGAAAGTGGGCCTACCCCCTCGGGATCCCTCCTTCCCTGTCCCATTCCAGTCTCCCCTGTCTGTCTCCACCGGCTGTGAGCAGGCCCAGCTCTTGCTTCTGCACCTGGTCGCCAGGCCCCTGCCTCACCTGGCACTCTGGGGCAGGTGCCTGCCACCTGCAGCTCGAGGACCAGGGTCCCCGTGGCTCATCCCCCACCCACCCCCTTCTCCAGCCTGTACCCTCCACAGGGCTAGGCTCCTGGGGGTCCCAGCAGCCTTGGAGGACGAGGGCTGGGGACGAGGCCTGAATCCCCTTCCTCCGGCAGGTTCTCGGGCAGTCAGCACTGTGGCCACATACACTGCGCCTACCAGTACCGTGAACACTACCACTGCCTGGACCCTGAATGCAACTATCAGGTACGTGGGCTGCGGGTGCCGTCCGTCCCAGGGAGACCACGGACTCGCTTCCGCGAGTAGAGCAGCCCAGCCCAGTGAGATGGGGTAGAATTGCCTACTCAGTTCCCAAGGCTGTATATCTGCATGGAAGCCGGCTCCCACATCTCTCCCTGGGGCGGGGGGGTGGGGGGTAGCAGCCAGAGGGGTAGACTGCCCACATGCCAGTGTGCAGCCCAGTGCTTAACCACTGAGCCACCAGGGCTCCGTAACACATCCCCAGGACGGTGCCACACACGATCTGTGGTCCGTCTTCATGCCATCTCTCCAGGGACCTTCAGGGTGGCACTGCCACCACACTATAGATGAGACCACCGAAATTCGAAGAATGAGTTGGGGGTGTGGACACTGCACAAGGGCGGACTCCTCCATCTCACGGGGTGGGGGTGGGGGCCGGGGTGAACTGCCCATCACCCATCAGAGGGGTCCCTGCCTCTATGGTGTGGCCTGCTCCTGGAGCCTGGGAGGAGGAAGGGTCGAGGCAGGGGCTGCGGGCCTGGGACCTTTAGGATCGTCCCACCCAGGTCCAGAGTGCCACCCATGAGTGGGGCTGCCGGTCTGTGCTGCCTTGGCCTGGGGCAGGAATGTGGACAGGAAGGCTGGGAGCCCTGGCGGTGGGGGCCGAGCACTGTGGGCGGCCCAGCCCCCCTACCAACCTGCCCCCCTCACTCCTGCAGCGCTTCACCAGTAAGCAGGATGTGATCCGACACTACAACATGCACAAGAAGCGGGACAACTCCCTGCAGCACGGCTTCATGCGCTTCAGCCCCCTGGACGACTGCAGTGTCTACTACCACGGCTGCCACCTCAACGGGAAGAGCACGCACTACCACTGCATGCAGGTGACCGGGCCCGGGGGGGCAGCAGGCAGCCGGTGGGAGGGACCTCCCCCACGGCCATCTTTCGTGTGGTGACCTTCCGAGAGCTGTTTATACAGATGGGCATTTTCCAAGCTTTCACACCAAGAGCAGCCGTGCACATGATTCCTCGGGAGGTTCTTGTTTAATTCTTTGTTTTAATGCCGGGCCGAGTCTGGGCTTTTTCAAGGTGTCAGGCCCAGGGAGAGCAACTCGGGGTTGCAAATAGCAGCCCCGGCTCTACCCCCCACCCTTTCATCCCCTTTCCCCACCCCCCACCCCCGGTATTTGCCGGGTGGTTCGGGCCTCTGTGGAACAACCTGGGCCACGCCGAGAGGGGGGCGCCTTGTGGGCTCTGAGATGGTGCAGACGCTGGCACGGCGCGGCCTTTGGGAGTTTTCAGATTCCACAGTTTTGTTACTCAATATGGCAAGGTTGCATGCCCAGCGAGGCTGGGCTGGGGTAGGGAGGGCCTGTGCCCAGGAGCCGTCCACTGAGTCCTGAGCGAGAGTTCCTGAGCTGCAGGGGACCACCTCCCTGGGGACGGTAGAGGCAGGGCCCCAGATGGAGGACTCCACAGCCACTTCCTGTCCTGGGGCTCCCGTGCCTGAAGATGTGGGACCTGCGGGATGGGAGGGTGCTCGGGGCCTGTCTGCCGGGGCCTCCTGGTTGCCCTCAGTGCCCGCCACCCCACCCACCCCATCCGGCCCTGTGATGGTGCTCCCTGGCTGTCCCCGAGCAGCGAGGCCAGCGCCTGAGACCCGTGTGCGTGTGCCCCTCTCCCCCTCAGGTGGGCTGTAACAAGGTATACACCAGCACCTCAGACGTCATGACCCACGAGAACTTCCACAAGAAGAACACCCAGCTGATCAACGACGGCTTCCAGCGCTTCCGGGCCACCGAGGACTGCGGGGCGGCCGACTGCCAGTTCTACGGACAGAAGACCACCCATTTCCACTGCAGGTGAGCCCCAGCCCCGGCAGGTGGGCAGGACCCAGACCCTGGCCCAGGCTGGGCAAGTGGAACAGGCCCCGAGGGCTGGTCAAGCCCTGTGCCGAGAGGTCCTGACTGACAGCCCCCCCGTGCTCCACCCAGGCGCCCCGGCTGCACGTTCACCTTCAAGAACAAGTGTGACATCGAGAAGCACAAGAGCTACCACATCAAGGATGACGCTTACGCCAAGGACGGCTTCAAGAAGTTCTACAAGTACGAGGAGTGCAAGTACGAGGGCTGCGTGTACAGCAAGGCCACCAACCACTTCCACTGCATCCGCGCCGGCTGCGGCTTCACCTTCACCTCCACCAGCCAGATGACCTCCCACAAGCGCAAACACGAGCGCAGGCACATCCGGGCGTCCGGCGTGCTGGGGCTGCCACCCTCGCTGCTGGGCGCCAAGGACACGGAGCAGGAGGAGTCCAGCAACGACGATCTCATCGACTTCTCCGCCCTGAGCAGCAAGAACTCCAGCCTGAGCGCCTCGCCCACCAGCCAGCAGTCCTCCGCCTCCCTGGCCGCCGCCGTGGCCACCGCCACCGCCACCGCCACCGAGCCCATGCCCACCGGGCCTGCCAAGCCTCCCAACAGCAAGATGTCCGGGCTGCTGTCCCAGGGCCTGCCTGGCTCCATCCCCCTGGCCCTGGCCCTCTCCAACTCCGGGCTCCCCACACCCGCGCCCTTTTTCCCCATCCTCCCGGGCCGTGGGGGCACCTCCCTGCCTGTGGGGGCATCTAGCCTCATGGGAGCCATGTCCTCGGGGGCCGCGGCCTCGGCCACCCCTGACGCAGCAGCTCTGGCCGGCGTGGGGACAGGCGACGTGGCCCCCGCCACCACCGCCTCCGTGCCCACACCCCCCGCCTCCCTCATGGAGAGGATCTCCGCCAGCAAGGGCCTCATCTCGCCCATGATGGCCAGGTTGGCCGCGGCCGCGCTCAAGCCCGCTGCCGCCTTCGACCCAGGTGAGCAGCTGGGCCCTGCCCAGGCACACAGCACCTTGCAACTGGGGTGGGGGTTGGGGTGGCCTCCTGGGCTCAGGTTGCAGGGCAGAGAGGAGGAGGGCAGGTGTCTGGGTGAGGCGGCATGCACCCTCACCTCCTGTTCTCTGCCTCCGTCCTGTCTATTTCCTCTGGGCCCTGGGTCTGGCTCACTCCCCATGGAGACTTGATCGCTGCATCTCTAAAAAGGGGGCAGGAACCCCAGCTACTTGGGGTGCCCACGGATCCCAAGTAATTGCCAGGCACCCCTCCCTGACCTGCCAGCTTGCCTCCGTCCCAAGGCCAGGCCCTCATGGAGAGCAGTCGCTGCTGGCTTAGACAGGGCAGGAGGCCAGCCCAGGGCAGAACTGCCCATGTCTCAGAGGTTCTCAAGCCTGAGAGCGTGCAGGCCCCTGAGGCCAAGCCTGCCCTCCCCACGCCGGCCCGTACACTGGGGCTGTCGGAACTGCTCGCCTCACCGCCGTTGCCACTTAGCTTGTGTGGCTCCCGAGCAGCGGAAACTGGCCGGTATGACTGAGGGCAGACACTGAATGGCCACCCCTGGCCAGCGGCTACTGACCGACCGGGACAGTAGTGAGGCAGCACTGTGGGCTCACATTCTGCCTAGCGCCTGGCTCTCTCCCTCTCTCTAATTCCTTAAGTTTCCCCTGACTTGTTTCCCCTTTCTCCCTTTGGGGGGCCCTGGCTTTTCTGGGTGCCTTGCTCTGCCCACCCCCCCAGCTGCCAGACCTTTCCACCCTGTGAGCAGCATTAGGGGGACCGAGGAGGGGAGCTGTGGCCCCTGGTGTGGCACCGTCTCTCACTCACTCAGCAGCCTCCATGCTGGCTGGGAGGACAGATAGACGCTGTCCTGTGGGGCTTCTGGTCACTGTGGCTCATCCCTGGCCAGGCACACAGCTTGGAAGGGCAGCCGCTTTGGGCCCAGGTTGTCTGGCTGCCGAGCTCCTGCGCCCACTGCTGATTGCGGCTGCCCGCCCACCAGCCAAGACCGAGGGTCCCTGAGGCCCAGCCCAGGCTCTGCCTGGGCCTTGCAGAGGGATGACAGGGATCCTGGGCCACATCTCCAGGGGACCTGGGGCAGGTGACTTCTGGGAGCCCTTGGGATATGGACCCCTGAGTTCTGTCAACTCCACCCCAGCAACAGGACTCCCGGGGTGCTTGGAGTAGGCTCTCTGCCACCACGCCTACTCCAGCAGGGCCACTCCAGGGCTCCCCTGCTCCCTCACCCACCCCATGTCACCCACCCTGCGGTCAGACGGCCAAGGGCTGTCTTCACTGCAAGATTCTCCTGCTCCCCAAAGAAAGGTCAAGCCAGGAGGAGGGGCAGCATTCTTTTATTTTTTAATAAAATGCCACTTGCTGTCTGTGAGGCAGCTCTGCCAGCTTCAGCGCCCTGGGGCAAATTAATATTTCAGTCACTTGGGGATTATGGAGAGCACCCCAGTGGACACGCTCCCCATCAGCAACTTCTCCGGCCACCCCGCACTTGGCTTTGCCGGACGTTGGCCGCGCCGGGCAGGGTGGCCTCGAAGCCCAGCCTGGTCCGGACAGACAGCTTGACGGGCGAGGTCACACAGTTTGAACCGCTCTGATTGGCTGTCAGCTTTGATCGTCCTGACACAGCAGATGCCCCTCCTGGGCATGCTCAGTGGAAGGCAGGGCCGTCGCCCCGGCAACCGTGGGACAGGGGGCCCCCGCGGAGGGGGCGCAGCTCCCAGTCTAGATCTGCCACTTTCCCTCAGCATTAACAGAGTCTTTAATAAAACCCTAAGCGGCAGCCCCACAAATTGCCTGTGACAGTTGGTGGAGAAAATGAAGGGGCCCCACCCCCGCCCCAGCCCCCTCCCCAGCCTCCCGCCCTTCTCCTCCAGGAGGCCCTGAGCCAGGACAACTTTGACATAATTTTGCAATAATTATCACTTGAAGAATTGCCACACCGGGGTAAGCGTCACAAGCGATCACGTCAATGGGGGGGCAGTGCTGAGCGGCAGCCAGGCCTCCCCCACCACCACCCCCGGGCCCTGGCCTGCTGCCCCAGCCTTGGGGGGCTCTGCTTCATGCCCACGGGGCGCCTGCATCCTGAGGAGACCATCTTCCCTGCCTTCCCCTTGCAGGAAGCGGGCAGCAGGCCGCCCCAGCCAGGTTCCCCCAGGCCCAGGTGAAGTCGGAGCTGGGTGAGAGTGCCGGCGCCCCAGGCCCCCAGGAGGCCACGCAAGACCGCAGTGTAGACCTGACCGCAAAGGAGTCCAGGTGAGGCAGGAGACACACCAAGGGGGCCCCCCACTGCTCCCCCAGAGGCCAGCCAGGGAGACCAGTGAGGCTCCGGGGGCAGCCAGCCTCAGTGCCACACCCCAGAGGGGTCAGGGGCCTTCCCCTCAGCAGCAGGGGTGCCTCCTGCCAGGCAGGTGCAGCTAGGCAGCCCAGGGAAGCTTCATGGGGGGGCAGGTGTACCTGGCCTCAGTCCCACCCGTCTGAGCCCAAGACCCTTGGTCTGTGTGTTTCAGTGATGAATCAAATGGCCACGCAGTCCCGACAAATTCATCTCTTTTATCCTCGCTTATGAATAAGGTAAGGACCATCTATCACACGCCTCCCAGTCCCCCCTCCCAGAGAAATTAAAGCTAGGCTGGGGGCTGGGGAGGGGGGATGTGTTTGTTTTTTAATGTTTTGCCTCTAATAAGATGAGTTTGTACCATTTAAATTTTGAGGCCATTTTTCATCGGATATAATTTCAGAGCCACCGCTTACAAATTAATTTAATGAACTGGCTGAAGAAATATATTCCAGACCCTGACACCTCCCCACCACCCCACCCCCGGGCCCCCTTCAGGTGGAGGGCTGCAGAGCTCTGGCGAGCCCTCCAACTTCTCCGGCTCTTCTTTATTCATCTTCCTTAGTTATTTTCAGTATTTTGTTTGTTTGTTTGTTTGTTTGTTCGTTCGTTTCCGGAGGGCGGTGGGTGGGTTGTGGTGGGGGGACTGAGTGGGTGCCAAGCATCAATTCCCACTTTTCGGACTGAGTAATGGTTTCAGACGCCCTGCCGAGAGGTCGTGCTGGAATATTTATTTTAAATAATGCAGGGTCTTTGTAAATTATACATCATCTCAAATATATTTTTCCCCTTCACATGATGAATTTGACTACATCGAGATTAATTTGGTGACTGCACACGAGTGACTGGGGGGGGGCCTGGGGGGTAGCCAGCCTCCGCAGACCGCGTGGGGTAGGTGTGGGAGGTCCCGACCACACTGCCCCCCGAGCTCGCCCTCTCTTGTCTGCCTGCTCACTCACCTCTTCCCTCCTTTGGTCACTGCACCCCCTCTCCCCTCCCTGTCAGCGCCTGCCACCCTGTGTAGGTCAGGCCTGAACACTGACTCCCTCCCGCCGCTGCCTCCCCTGCCGGTAGGTAGCAGCCTGTCTTGATCTCGCCCCATGAGTCTCGGCCTCCCGCCCTCGGCTCCTCCTTTGTGTGTGTGCCTTCTCTGTTCTCAAGGAATTCGTAGGGCCCCCCCCCCCCCAACCCAGCCCGCCCTCCCCTTGCACTTCTTTTGAAAACCTTCTGGCAGGAAAATAACCAGGAGTCGAGGATCCTGGGGAGAGCTGGGCCGAGTGGCGGAGCACGGGTGCAGCCGGCAGGCAGGGGCCTCGGGTCTGCAGGCCCGCCAGTCTCTGCTTCCTGCTCCGAGCAGCGCTGCAGGCTGGGGGTGCGATGAGCAGACGGTCCCCTTCCCGAGCTGCCCAGCCCCAGCACGGCCTCTCTACTCCCACAGATGTCCCAGGGCAACCCCAGCCTGGGCAGTCTGCTCAACACCAAGACGGAGGCCGAGGGTGGACCGGCCACAGAGGCCTCTCCCTTCCTGGGCAGGGCGGTGAAGGCCCTGGTCCACGAGCAGCTGGCAGAGCCCTGGAAGGTGTACCTGCGCAGGTGAGGGCTCAGGCATGGCCGGCAGGAGGGAGGGGGACGGAGACCAGGTCTCCTCTCTAAGCAGCGCCCCCTCACCTCCCCACCCCGGCAGGTTTGGCACCAAGGACTTCTGCGTGGCCCAGTGTGACTTCCTCCACAAAGCCCACTTCCACTGCGTGGTGGAGGAGTGCGGCGCACTCTTCAGCACCCTGGACGGGGCCATCAAGCACGCCAAGTGAGTAGGGGTACCAGGGAGAAGGGCTTCAGCTGCCCCCACCAGACCACAGAGCCCAGGGGGGCTTCTCAGAGAGGCTATCCCTTCCCCAGCCACGATGGCCTGGGCCCTGGGGTGGGAGGGGACATCACCCACACCAGTGCACTCTCTATGGAATTGGCCTCCGAGGCCTGGAGGCTGACTGGGGCTGGCCCAGGCTTCCGAGCAGAGAGCGGGGTGAATGCCCAGCAACCACGACATGAGCTTCTTAGGTCCTCTTTGACCTAGAAATCACGAAATCAATTGGCGTTCTCCATCGAGTGACAGACCGGCAGGGCCAGCAGCCTGCCTGTAAGTGAACCAGCGTCTGTAAGCGTGTGAAAGCGCCCGCACCGCACACCGCGGAGCCCCGAGCTGGGGCCTGCTTCCGCAGCTGGACAGCACCTCTGTACTTTTGGGGAGTCCCAGGCTCCAAATCGCAAAGCAGGTTCTAAAAAGGAGGAGCTTCCCGTGGCAGTGGGGACTAGTGCTAGGGGCACGGTAGGGATGCCCGACCCTAGGCGTGTGACGGGCAGCACTGAGCCACCTGAGACACCCTCTCTGCCTTTCGCAGCTTCCACTTCCGGACAGAGGGAGGAGCGGTGAAGGGCAATGCAGAGCCTGCCTTCCCTGTCTCGGCCGAGACCAAACCTTGCCTGGCCCCCTCGTCCCCGCCAGCACCACCCGTGAGCTCGGCCACGGCGTCCTCTCTGGAGGGGCCGGCCCCCAGCCCCGCCTTGGTGCCGTCCACCCCGACCCTCCTCGCCTGGAAGCAGCTGGCTTCCGCCATCCCCCAGATGCCTCAGATCCCAGCGTCTGTGCCTCACCTGCCCGCTTCGCCCTTGGCGACGACTTCTCTAGAAAACGCCAAGCCCCAGGTCAAACCCGGATTCCTCCAGTTCCAGGAGAAGTGAGTCCCTCCATGAGCCGGGATCCCGCGTCCTCGCGTGTCTCGGGCATAGGTGCTAGCAGGGGGCAGCCCAGGCCCTCCCCCGGCCCGCAGCGTGGTGCTGGCCGCCTCACCAGCCAGTGTCCTTCTAGCCCAAGATGCTGCTGCTCAGACCTCAGTGCCTGTCCCCGGAGCAGACCGGGGCGATGGTGGTGGTAGCGGCTACGGTGAAAGGGGTGGGGCTGGAGGGTCTCGGAGGACGAGGCCCCCTCCCTGGTCAGGAGTCCCGAGTCTCCTGCTAGGCCTCCTCGGTGGCCCGTGCCCGTGGCTGAGTGCTTACAGGGCACAAGCAGTCACCGGTGAGGCGAGGGACTAGGCCAACCCGGCGTGGAGCTCTGGCCCCTGGCATAGAAGGGACTTCTCACTGGTTGGTGGTGGCTCCCGGCGGCGAGAATGGGGACTTTGTATCATCCTGTGTGCACAGCGGCTTCCTGTTCTCAATAAACGTAATAAATTGGATATGAACATACTGCACCTGAGTGGCGCCTGTCCTCCCTCTGAGCACCACAGCCGGGCCCCCAGCCTTGAGGCACCCCCCCTCCAGCACTGCCCCACGTCCCCTCCCCGGGCACCTCCGCAGCACAACAGCCCCTACCCCGGGCCCCACCCCCACCTCTCACCTCGGAGCCAGGGCTCCAGGCCGCTTGGGATGATGAGATACAGGGGCTCGGCCCAGCGCCCCTCTTCACAGCCCCCACCAGCCCATGCGCTCTGCCGGGTCTCAAAGCTCTCTGAGTGGGTGGGCATCACAGGCCCTAAGCTGACCCTAGGGAGCCCCAGCAGCTGCGTGCCTCCAAGGGCCCTGACTCAGGCACACGTCCCCACCTGCCAGGCCCCGTGGGGCCAGAGCTTCCTGGTAGGGCTGCCCACCCATCTGCAGGCAGGGCAGTGCCCCGGCTGTGCCAGCCAGGCGCTCGCTGGCACCCTGCCAAGGGTTGGCAGCACCATCCCTCATTTCCATATCCAAGAAGCCATTGCCGCCATCCTTATCTGTGATCCTGAGGTGTGGTCGTGGGAACTGCGTGTCCCAGCATGCACTGCTCTAGGCACCCTGCATATTGCAATCCTCTCGTATCTGAGCAGGGCTCCTTGGCGGCGGTGGTGCAGAAATGCAGGCTGGGAGCTGTAGTCTCCTCCGGGCGGACTCGGCCTGCCAGGCTCCCCACTGGTGACACGGGACCCCAGAGGGGAGGGATCTGTGGATGCCAATGACCGCCCGGGCCGTGGTTTTGTTCCAGCGACCCCTGCCTCGCGACGGACTGCAAGTATGCCAACAAGTTCCACTTCCACTGTCTCTTCGGGAACTGCAAGTACGTGTGCAAGACCTCGGGCAAGGCCGAGTCTCACTGCCTGGACCACATCAACCCCAGCAACAACCTGGTGAACGTGCGGGACCAGTTCGCATACTACTCCCTGCAGTGTCTCTGCCCCAGCCAGGTCAGTGCAGTGGGCAGGGCGCGGGCCGGTGGGGTGGGGGTGCACCTCCCAGCAGGGGTTCTTTTTCACATTCCTTTTTTTCATTGGTGCCCTGGTGGCGTTCGTGGGTTACACGTTGGACTGCTAACCTCAAGGTCGGCAGTTCAAAACCACCAACCTCTCCGCGGGAGAAAGAGGAGACTTGCTACTTCCATAAAACGTGACAGTCTCGTTGGGTGTCTGTCCTGTTGTGTATAGATATGACAACAACAAAAACAAATTCATGTTTTTACAAGTTATTCAAGTCTCTGACACCACCACCACCCACTCCCCAGTGGCAGCTCTACCCTGTCCTTCAGGGTCACTGGGAGTTGGCACCGACTTAGATGGCAGTGGGTTTGGGGTTTGGAGTGTTCACTGGACCCGCTTGGGTGTGAAGTCTGTCCTTTCGTCCCCTGGGAGTGTGAGAGACGGGCAGTACGTACCCGAGATGGACCGCACGGCTCCTCTCCCTGGTGGCCTGGGCAGCCAGCTGAGCAGAGAGAGGCGAGGGCAAGGACAGACGGGTACAGGCTGCCATGGGTGTGGGGCTGAGACACACAGGGCACGTGCCAGGTAGGACGGTTGGTCAGGTGCCTGAGGGCACGTCCTTTTCCTTCATGCGGGGAAGGTCTTTGTGGAGTGGAACTTCCTGACCCTGAGCCTGGAAGCAGGCACAGCCAGGGGCTCGCGGGGCAGGCGGGCTGGGGGCTCCAGCCTGGCCCTGACCCCGAGCCCCCCACCCCCACCCCCATTCGCCCCCGCAGCACTGCGAGTTCCGGATGCGCGGGCACTACCACTGTCTGCGCACAGGCTGCTACTTCGTGACCAACATCACCACCAAGCTGCCGTGGCACGTCAAGAAACACGAGAAGGCCGAGCGGCGGGCGGCCAATGGCTTCAAGTACTTCACCAAGCGCGAGGAGTGCGGCCGGCTCGGTAAGGGGCGGCGGGGCGACACGCACCTCTGAAAAAGAGGCCTCCTCAGACTTGGGCGGCAGCCGAAAGAAACCCGAATGGCCCAGGAAACAGGGCCGGGGAAGCAGGCACCCACCTCCCACACTAAGGAGGGCACCCTGGGGCCCGGGCCTGACAACTCAGCCCCTTTTTCCTTTCCTGCCGATACCTGAGGCCGGCAGCACTGGGGTTCCTGCGCGCCAGTGTCTGGGCTCTTTGTCGGTGGCTTGAATGACGGGGTGCTTGTCTGCAGTGGCCCGTGGCCTGCTGCCTGGTCACTTGGAGAGCCACGTTCTCGGTGCCAGCTCTGTGGTCACTGTCTGGGGGGGGCTTGCTGTGTGCCATGCACATGCCCGGGGGCTGGGGCCCTAGTGGGACCATCTAGCACACTGTGGCTCAGCATAGAGTCCCCTGTGACCTGGGCAGACCACCAGAGGGAAGTGACCTTGGGTCTGGAAAGAAGAGGCCACTCACGGCCTCGAGTTCAGCAGGGTGTTGACTGCTGCTGACCGCCGAGCTGCCCCCAGGACGTGGCCCCCAGCCCCTGAGCAAGGCTTCCTCTCGCAAACCGCCCTAGGGATGCTGCAGGGCAGGGCCCAGGGAGCTGCAGATGCCCAGGAATAGACTGGAAACCTGAGGGCCACTAGGAGCAAGGACACTAGCCGGGCGGTGGCCCCTTCCGCAGGTGAAGGGTGAAACCCTCAAGTCAAAGACAGGGCACGCACTTCGCAGTATTCAAAAAGAATTCATGAAAAAAAGAAAGGAAGCATTCATGGCAGGGGCAAGAGGGTTGGTCACCGTGGCGACAGGTGTCAACACCTGCGGCCTCTGCGGTACCTGGCTCAGCTCGCAGGTGCCAGGGTTTTCTGGAGTGCTGTTATTGACTCGGGGTGTTTTCGGTGGTAGCGGGGGCCACACAAAGCTGGGGGCTGATATCAGACACCTGGCCAGCGTGGGCGCCATGGCAGTGGCAGGCCTTCACCTGCCCACTG